GACTGATAGGCAAAATGTGAGCAATTGGAAATGCCCCCTACTTTCTGATTGGCAAAGTATTTGTTGATGTACTCTTCCCAGTTTTCATGCATATTTACAAACATGTTCACACAAATAAGTGGTTCTCCCAACCATTTGTTTCCTTGTCACAGATTTCCCTCTTAGCATGACTTCAGGAAAAAACTGCTTTGGAAAAATCCATATAATCCTCTTTTTAGCCCTCTCCCTTTTAGAGGTTAAAACAACTGAATGAAAATGTATAAAAATATTTTCAAACAAAAGTTATAATCAATCAATAATTTTATTTGCCCTCTTAGCATCTTATAGTCCCTCTCATTCTAGGACATAGGTTAACAACAATAGAACATTATCCATGCATTCTGCAAGCTTTTATTCTTTCTTTTTCTTATTACTTATTGCATTAACACTGTAATATAAAATAATTTTAGAAGAATCCTTAACCCTTTCTCTCACTTTTAATTCCAACTGCCAAAGTGAAAATGAATGGATTGCCAGATTCCTCTAATTCTTCCCCCTCTTTCTCCTCATTTCTAACTTTATTCTTTATTTCTAAGAAGGGGATTCATAGAGAGGGATTCTACAATCTCCCCTGGAATATCTGAAATGAAGTAAGGGAATTCAAATTATTTAAATGCTTTGTTATTTATGCTTTAAAAAAAGATCTCTTATACATTGCTTGAAAATGTTTCTTAATATTTAATATCACTGAATTAAAGACATAAGCTGATTTTTTGGGGGGGATTTGTTTTGTTTTTAAAGGCCACTTTGGCTCTTTGTTGAGGTTTTGAATCGCCAGTTGTCACTTCAGTATTTTTTGTATAAAGTTATTTATCAATTCCAGGAGAATGAGTTTGAAATCAAGCCTAGATTTGCATCTAACTCCTCTGCATTCTCCCTGTGTGTCTCTGGGGAAATTACTTATGCTGTCTGTACCTTTGATATTTCACCATTTCTACACAGCTATGTCTATTGATTTAACAGGCCTCTAGAAATTGTCACAGAAACCTCCCTGCTGTCCTGGAAACTGTCCTACTGATTGCTGTGTCATGGAAACTGTCCTACTGTGCACTGTGAACTGTCCTACTGTGTACTGTCCTACAGTCCTGCTATGTACTGTGAACTGTCCTATTGTGTACAGTCCTACTGTGTACTGTGTATTGTGAACTGTCCTACTGTATACTGTGAACTGTCCTAAACTGTCCTACCGTGTATTATGTATTGTGAACTGTCCTACTGTGCTACTGTGTACTTACTGTGTACTGTCCTACTGTGTACTGTGCTCTGTCCTACTGTGTACTGTGAGCTGTCCTACTATGTACTGTGAACTGTTTTACTGTGCACTGTCCTACTGTGTACTATGAACTGTCCTACTGTATACTGTGTATTGTGAATTGTCCTACTGTGGACTGTCCTAAACTGTCCTGCTGTGTACTATCCTATTGTCCTACCAGTGTCATGGAAACTGTCCTATTGATTGCTGTGCTGCCCTGATAGCTGGATGATTGGCATTAACTGAAATTGTCATGGCCTATCTTTGCTTCCTCCTGCCACTGCTCTCTGCTCACAGGAGCCTACCTCTCTAAATGCTCTGTTATTGCTAAACCAGAACTCTCAGGAATGTTAACAGCATATAGACCTTTAATACAACAGACTGCAGCACCTTTAAGGGTAATGGGCTGAATTAACAGCATCTGCAATGACCTGGATAAGATTGGAGACTATTGTTCTAAGTGACATAACTCAGGAATGGAAAACCAAACATCACATGTTCTCACTGATATGTGGGAGCTAAGCTATGAGGACGCAAAGGCATAAGAATGATACAATGGACTTTGGGGAATTCTGGGGAAAAGTGGGACGGGGGCAAGGGATAAAACACTACAAATATGGTACAGTGTGTACTGCTCAGGTGATGGGCACACCAAAATCTCACCAATCACCACTAAAGAATTTACGTAATCAAACACCACCTGTATCCCAATAACTTATGGAAAAATAATTTTTTAAAAAGAGTGATGGGCAATAGTGAACTGGCTAGTAATATCTCTCCCTTCCTCTCTCTCCCCAGCATCTAATATGAACTAATATCCTTTCATTTACAAGAAATATCTATAAGCGGTCAGTCAAGTTATTTTATTTTTTATATATCCTCCTTCCTATCCTTCCCAATTTTAAAATAATTGTACAATGTCTACCTTATCAGAATATACTGTCACACTGTCTCTGCCATCATTTGGAATGAGATCTACAGGCAAACAGATCGATGCTCACCACCAGTCATTTTATCAGTGTCCTTACAGTACCATTGCTTGTCTAAAGTGTGTTCACCACTGGAGTCTCTAAGAAGAAATATTCTCTGGATTTAGGGAGTTTATTTTATTTTGTTGTGCCTGTTTCTCTTTATGCTTCAAAGTCAATTTGGCTGTGTATAAATTTCTTGGCTCACATTTTCTTTACTTCATTACCTTAAATAACATTTTCTCTGACAAGGTATTGCTGTTGAAAAGTTTGATAATCAAATTTGCCTTATAAGTGATTAAATATTTATTTACTGAGATGCCCAAATAATATTATTTTCTTTTCTCAAAAAGTCCAATAACTTAACTACTTGGTATTGGTTATACTGGATCAATTTTCCCAAGTGGGTGGTGGGCTGTTCAAATACATACATTTTCTGTTTAAAGTTTTCCTTAGAGCATATGTATTTAAATGCATATTTAAAGCATATATATTTTTATTATTCTACCCTCCCACTTTTTTTCCTCAAATATTTATATTATATGTACGCTGAAGTTTTTTTTAAAAGATAGGGTCTCACTCTGTTACCCAGGCTGGAGCATAGTTCACTGCAACCTCAAACTCCTGGACTCAAACAATCATCCTGCCTCAGCCTCCTGAGTACCTAGGACTACAGACATGCATCACTGAACTTGGGTAATGTTTACATTTTTCTGTAGAGATGAGGGTCTTGCTTTGTTGCTTAAGCTGGCCTCAAACTCCTGGACTCATGTGATCCTTCCACCTTGGCCTCCCAAAGTGCTGGGATTACAGGTGTGAGCCATGCACCTGGCCTATATTACATCTTCTTTACCTTTCATCTATATCTGTATTTTCTCTCACACCTCTTTCTTCATTTCCTCTGATTTTAAAAACTTTGTTGTTTTCCAGCTTGTTTTCTTAAAGCATTATCTTTTACATTTATTTACTCTGTACTGCTTCTAGCATAGTTTTTATTTCTAATATATTTTAATCCTTTATTTCTAAATTCCATGAGTTCCAGCTCATCTCCTTTCAAGTCATTCTATTTTTTTCTACACATCTCAAGTTGAGCTTTTCAAATTGTGATTTATGTTGATCTTCAAACTTCCATTATTTCTTTAATTTCATTTAGCTTATTTTGAAATATTAGGCTACAGATGTCGCCTGTTTTGTAGGCCTTTTTGATAGGTATTCATTATTCATAGGGAAGGCAGTCTGATCTTAATCTCTTTTCTCATGAAACATTGTATGGGATTTAATTGCTTTTTCTTTTCTGTTGGTCATTTTCAAGTGAAATGAGTGAGCCAGGATTTCCTCTAGCTTCATGCTCCCAGGCTCCCCATCTGCTGTGTTCACAAAGTGATACAAACATAGTCAGATTTTTCTGAGATCTGCCCACTCTGTGTTTAGTCCCATCTTCATCTTCACTTTTATTTTGACCTCCTCTTTCCTTTTCACCTTTTTTTTCCAACTCAGCTTGGACTTTACTCTGAGCACTTTTTGTTTCCAGAGCAGGGTTTTGCCTTAGAAAGAAACTTTAGTTTCTAACTTCTCAGAGTTCATAGAGCTCATAACAGTTCAATGCTCAGTCCCCTGCACTCGCCAGCAAATGCAAATCCACTAGATCTGTTCCCTCCTACCTGAGTCTCATGTGCTGTCCTGAGACACCCACTTCACTTTCCAGTGAGTACTTTGGACAATTTTGTAGGTTTTCTGTTATTTGGCTATCAAGTGGCCCCATTACTTTCCCTCACAAATGCTGATATCACACAGGTTTTGAAACTGTTGATGCTTGGTCCTATTCATATGTGGGATTTGTGAAGATCTGTCACCTAATCATGGGGTTTTAAGTTTTGCTGTTCAAATTTTTTTACTCTTTTGGGGTGGGATTCAGGGAGATTCAAAGTACATGTTTACTAAGTGCATATGTACTAATGAACTTATAAGTGCTATTTCCATTCCAAAAAGTCCTAGATAAGGTCCCATTTAACCCATAATAACAGATGTGCCAATATGCTCTGGGACAGGGTTTCCACCCAGTAAAGAGTATTAATCTGTTATTCGAGCTATCTAATTGGATCAAACTTAGAGCACAATGTGTTATAAAATTTGTATACCCCCCAAAATTCATAAGTTGGACCCCAAATTCCCAATGTAATGGTATTTGGGGGTGAAATTTTGGGGAGGTAATTGGGTTTAGATGAGGTCATCAGGATAGAGTCTTTATGATAAAATTAGTGTCCTTAGGAAGAGAGATACCAGAGAGCTGTGCACGTGCTCTCTCTATGCCATGTGAGGACACAGTGAGAAGGCAGCTGTCTGCAAGCCAGGAAGAGAGCCCTCACTAGGATCCAAATTAGCTGACGCCTTGACCTTGGACTTTCCAGCCTCTAGAACTTTGAAGAATACATTTCAGTTGTTTAAGCCACCCAGTCTATGGTTTTTTGGTATAGCAGTCTGAGCTGACTAAGAAACAGTCAGTGAGTCATTAAGTTAGTGATAAAAATGATAAACTGAAAAAAAAAAAAATACCATTGACTGAAGACTTCCTAGATATCTAACAGGAACTGAGAGTAAAAGATTACCACTCCCACTGTGAAGGGTTAAGTAACTATTTTGACACCACTGGACAAGTGAAGGTGACAAGGGAGAAATGCCATTAAAAGTAATGTCTAATAACAAAGACACCTTTATAAAAAAAGACTGTCATCTTTACTCACTTTGTCACAGAAGACCTTGATCTGGCAATAAGCTCTATGAATAGGTTTATTGCTACGATTGTTATAGCTGTATGTGTCAATCTGAATCATCAAAGGAAGTCCTTTCACCCCTTTTTGGGAGGAGAAATCTGTACTCAAGCAATTCACGGTGATGAAAATCTGAGGAAAGGAAAAAGAAAAAGTTCACAAGTCACCATAAAAAGAATGTATGACAAATGCATAAACCTTAAACTTTAAGTCAAAACACTAAACAATCCCATAAGGACAACTGAAGAATATTCTGATGTTCTTTTCACATAAAAATATGCTGAGCATAAAACATATAATTTATAATTACACATTATTTTTTAAATCTGCTTTCATATTTAATCTTGAAAGAGAGCACTTAAATTACTTTCCTGGAAGCATATCAGCAAAGTCTTACTTATTTTTTAAATATGCATAAGTGGCCTGAGTAAAACACTGTTTCCTCAACACATCAAAGCTGCCAGTTTTAATAGTTATAGCAGTTATTCTAATCTCTGACCTGTGGAATATAAAGAAAAAATCAGATGGCACCTTCCTTTGCACATTATTGCACTGAAACCTAGTTATTTGTTTACATATCTTTCTTCCTTGATTATAAAGCATGCAATTTGAGACCACTTATTATTTTTGTATTACTGGTACCTAGTTCCTGGAGAAAAATAAGCACTCAATAAACATTAAATGAGTGAATTACTGAGTTTATCTGCAGAAAGCCTACTAAAAAGGGAGTCAAATGCCCCAGGTTTTAGTCCCAGCTGTAATATCCACCAGCTAAGAAACATTACTCAAGTCACTTAATGTCTTCAGATTTCATTTTTCCCTTTAGGATCACTCCCTGCAGGACAAAATATAGATACAAATATACTTCCATGTTAGTGAAAAAGTAAAAGAGGAGCTGGTAAATGTAAGTTCTGAAACAGGAGAGGGAAGGTGTAGTGAAGGCATCAACATCCTCACCTTACAGCACAGGGACATCCAGAGACACAAGGGAAACCACATGAATTCCAAAAAATGGAAACTCCAGGAAATTCATAAGATTATAGCGCTGACCAACAAAAGAACTAAAAATAATTTTATTATAAAATATTGGTAAGAAGAAAAGGAGGAGTGTAAATAGCTAAATTTCTCCTTATTTTACATAGTGGATGGCAGACCATTGACCATTTAAAAGTGATTTATCACGGAGCTGCGGTGTAAGTGTAGCACACAGGTTACGTGGTAACTCCAGTGATGATGAAGAGGTGGTTGTGGGGAGACCCAGGCACTCTCTCTTAGACTCTTGGTACTATTTTCACTTGATGCCACATGTATTATTTTTATTTAAGATGTTAAATTATTCATTGCTTTAAAATTGTACAATTATGTATTCTGAAAACTACATCATTAGATGTACTATTTAACACTTGTCTTATTTGATTCCCTGGGCTTTCCATTCACCTTTAAGCCTTGGACCTGAAGTTCCTCACATCACAGGAACATTATGGAGAACAGCTTTGTAGGATGCAAAGCCATGAGAAACAGGCTACATATTAAAGGCCTTTCAGCCAGGCCCAGTGGCCCATGCCTGTAATCCCAGTACCTTGGGCGACCAAAGCAGGGGGGTTCCCTGAGCTCAGGAGTTTGAAACCAGGATGGGCAACATAGTGAGATATCATTTCTACAAAAAGGTTAAATATTAGCTGAGTGTGGTGGTGCATGCCTGTAGTCCCAGCTACTTGGGAGGCTGAGATGGGAGGATTGCTTGAGCCTGGGAGGTCGAGGCTGCAGTGAGCTGAGATCATGCCACTCCACTCCAGCTTGGGTGACAGAGCGAGATCCTGTCTCAAAATAAATGAATAAAATAAAGGCCTTTTGAATTTTTGATCTAACTACTAGACCTGATCTAGTTCATTTCAAACCCAATGCCTGCAGGCTTCTGGTAATCCAGGCATCTCATTTTTAGTGCTACATCTCTATAAACCTCATTTTTATTTTATTTGTGAGGTCCTCACCTGGCACTGAGGAATGTCTTAGTAGGGTGCCACATCCATAGCAGTCAGGCCAGATGACAGGGCTTAGTGACAGGCTGATCACAGCAACCCTGTGCCCTGACCCCTGGGCTCTCACACTTCCAGCCACTGTCTGAAGACAAGTGCTCACGAACAATCTAATTCTGCCAACAAATCTAGCAACCTAAGGTACAACAGGAGGATCATCAGTAATAAAACTGTACTGTAGATGGGAGGTCGGGGGAAAAAGAAAAAGTGTACTGTATATGGATTCCATGCTAAATGAGTAGATTTTAGCTGCTCTTGCCAAAAACAGAAATGGGTAACCATGTGAGATGATGGATATTAGATGATAGATAAAGTATCTCCAGGTATTCCATAACATCATGTTTATATCTTAAATATATAACATTAAAAGTTGCTTTTAAAAAAAAGATAATCTAACTACCGATACATTCATTTTCTTCATTCATTTCTTTAATTCCTGTTTTCAGTCTGTAAACCTCCACACAGCCCACAATGGGTGAAACACAACATGAGATACAGGGCTTAGAAAAGAAACCCAAACCCCTGCTTCAGGGAGCTGACAGTCCAAGAGGGAGACAGATGAGTGATCCAGCAGTGACCAATGGAGAGTGGTCTTCTGTGTTGTGTACAGAGAGGCAGGTGTGCACAGAGTCCCCAGGAAGACAAAACAGAGCCCTGGGCCTGGAGAACACTAGCGAAATACAAACCCACACATTCACTGGGCTTAGAGCAGGGGCCTGACAAGGACTGAGGAACAGTAAAGAAAAAGAGAGTGACTAAAGATGCAAATGTCAGGTGATTCAGAGGAACTGAGTGATAAAGACTACTAAGAAAGAACACACAGGCTGGGTGGCTTAGGCCTGTAATTCCAGCGCTCTGAGAGGCTGAGGTGGGTGGATCACTGGAGATCAGGAGTTCAAGACCAGCCTGACCAACATGGTAAAACTTCATCTCTACTAAAAATAAAAATAAAAATTCGCCAGGGTGGTGGAGGGCATCTGTAATCCCAGCTACTCTGGAGGTTGAAGCAGGAGAATCTCTTGAACCTGGGAGGTGGAGGTTGTAGTGAGCCGAGGTCGTGCCATTGCACCCCAGCCTGGACAACAAGAGCAAAACTCTGTCATGGGAGGGGAGGGGAGGGGAGAGGAGGGAAAAGAGAAGGGAAGAGAGGGGAAGGGGAAAGGAAAGGACATGCTATATCTGATTCTCCTACTGATTTTCCATGACAAAGGTATTTTGCCCACTGCAGTCACACACACAGAAAGCGCTATCTACTGCCCCTAGAGAAGCCCTAATAGCAGAGAATTTTTATTTAAGTCATTCACGCAAGAAATATTTTTGAAGTGCCTAAAAAGTTCCTGAGGCTATGCTAGGCACTAGCATAGATGCACTGGTTATGGCTCCTGTGATCACAGAAGTCAGAGGGAAAATTGAGAGAGAACATATGGTGGTGCTCTAAAGATTATAACAGCTTCATCAAACACTAACCTTTAGGTTAAAAAAAAAAAAGCATACTTTTCTAGGAACACCTGAAAAACATCTTGGCTGAATGTATCAATGCAGTTATATGTCAGCAAAGCAAATGATCACTCTGGTGAGCTATGCAGCTGTTCATCATTTTGGCCATGTGCTTCATAGAGATCTTCCTGCTGGTGGCCATAATATACAGGAGTCTTAACACGGACTGGTTATTTTCCACTCCCTCATAAAGCCTGCCTAGAACTACAGGAGCCAGAGGAGAAAAGTGTTCTGATGAATATTTCCTAAGCTATTAAGATTCATGGTTGGCTCACTGATTTAACCACGTCACTCACAGTGGACACACACTCAGACAGGCAGGAAGCAATATTAAGTGTGGCCTTATCAACTCGTCTCAACTAAGAGCCAAAGTGATGGATTGTGAATATTTACAAGGGCCATTTAAGTGGGACAGACCCACTAGACCCACTGAAATAACTGCTTACTGGCAATATACTACAATACATAGACTAAATTTTCCCTGGAGAAGTTATAAAAACCAGCCACCCAGTAGAGATGGTCTTCAAAGGTCAAATGAGCTACCACACATCAGACTTCACTGGGAGACACTTAAGCTAGGTTCTCTCAATAGAGAGAAGTCTTTAGAAGAAGCTCTAATGGGCTCTCTCTGATTCAAGGCCTCCTACTTGCATTAAAAGTAAACAACACAAGAATCTGCTTTTTCTGCTACATTGTGTTGTCAGCTCCCAGTGAACCTAAAAGGCTGGGATTTTATAGTAGGGTTGGCATTGTTTTCCTTTTGCCTAGCTGCCTGACCCACTAGCAAGGCACAGTTTCAGTGCCTGATGGTATCAATCACAGTCTCGCTATACTGCACTCAAAACCCAAATGGTTGAACTTTAACTGAAATTGGGGGTGGGGAGGAGTTTTGGGAAGTCATGGAAGGACATTAACTAAAACCCTGGCTTGGAAACTGATAAGCATTCATTTGTTTCATCTTGCAAACCCAACCATATCTCAGCTCTAAGCACAGCAGGCAAATGGGAAAGCAAATTACTTGGAAGTACATCTACAAAGCACTTGTTTGTAAATATGTATTAGAGAGGCTTAAGGAAAAGGTATAATTTCCTCTACCAAATGTTCATCCAAATGTCAAGCACAGAAAGTTATTTTTTACTTTGGTGGAAGCCTTGATTATGTAAAGAATGCATAAATGCCATAAACAATCTATCTGCCTCCTAAGTGTTAAGAAAGTTACGAATGCTCACATAATATTTTTTAAACTTCACTTGTTTTTCTATAATGCTAATAGCACATAATTTATTTTTTAAGAACGAATCAGGTGTATTCAGGCAGACAATAGATACAATTTTAATTTTGTCATCAGTTCAAAGATTGATTCAGTTAGAAAGATTGTTTCTAAATGTGCCAAGATCTTTTCCAGAAATAGAAGTAGTCTAGTGACAAAAGACTTAAAAAAAAAAAAAATCATTTGTTACATATGAATTGCAATTCCCATTTTGTGGATTCTATCCAAGACAAGTGACTTTGCTGAAATTATGATACCCCTCACTTGTACATGATGCATGCAGTAAGATTTATTAAAATAAACACAAATCAATGAGCTTTAGAATTGCT